AGAAAATATTAACGATCATCCCTGGAAAAAAAAAGAAAAGAAAAAAAGAAAGAAAAGAAGTGAACAAGTACCTCTACGCCGGGGAAGGTCGCCGGTGCTGAGGGAGTGCAGGGAGACTCGCTGGTGCTGGGGGAGTGTAAGGGACTCGCCGGGGACGGGTGGAGTGCCGGGGAAGGTTGCCTGAGATGGGGGGAGTGCGGGGAGCTGCAGGTGACTCGGCGGAGGGGTGGAAGTCCTCGGATTTGAGGGGTAGCAGTGGTGGGTCGCCGGGGACGGGGGGAGTGCCGGGGAGACTCGCCGGAGACGGGGGGAATGCGGGTTAGGGTAGCAGTGGTGGGTCGCCGGGTTAGGGTTAGAGAAGAAGGGGAGTCGATTTTGACTCTCAAATATTTGGTCAGACATTTATATACTCCCCGAAGGTCGGAATTAATCCGACCTCCTTCTTAAAAGGATAAGGTTGGAATTTAACAATCCGACCTTGGATAGAGAGCTTGGCGAATTGGCTCCAAAGTTTCACCAAAATCCAACCTTCATTCGGAATCCAATTTTCACCATAAATCGGATTTACAAAATTCGATTTTTTCTTTAATTCGGATATTTAAAATCCGATTTTCTTCCTAAATCGGATTTTCTGAGTCCGCCTTATACCCTTAAACCTAAGACACACTTGAATAATTGTTTCCCCGGCCCTTTTTAAACAAGTACTAACATCAATCACAACATTTGACCTCTCCGTTGGTCCATTCCACAACAGCAATAACTTGTTCATTCGACAAACTATTACATTACCCATAAACTACATTTCAAACGAACTAAAGCATAAATTACAATTGAAACATTAAACATTGTTTTGAGACAAACAACAACTGAAACAAACAATTCCTAGTCGTTGTGAATATCATCAGCGTCCCAATTGATCGTGAGCCTTGTCCTATCGGATTTTTTGTGTGATTTGGGACATGCAGATGTGAAATGATTCCTTGAGCCACATCTCAAACATTCACTCCTCGATTTGCGTCCCCTATAATCCATTTGCATTTAAATCTCTTTTTTTGCCAATGACCGGGCCCAGCATGCATAATAACTTGCTCGTAGTTAGGAACGAGTCTCCATCCAACCTTAAGCCATTTTCTCTTGTCAGGGACCGGGCTAAAGTCATTGTGCCCACTGAATTGGCCTTGCCAAGCAACAACCCTCAAATGTGGATCCACCGTATTGATTGGTTGATCTTTTATCTTCCGACACACGGCTAGTGCATGTGAACAAGGCATCCTATACTCCTGCCACTTCTTACACAAACACTACTTCTCTTCATATTTCACAGTGTACTCATTGCCACCTTTATTACCAAGTCGGCTTTTACTTTTCGCCTTGAACTTCCCATTAACCGCAGCGTAACGTTTGACTTTGTGTTGCGCGGCTTTGTTCTCTCTTTTCAAGAAGTCTTCCCACAAGTCGGTTGGGAGGGATGTAATGCATTTCCTTGACGCTATGTATTCTTCTTGGAACAAATCCACAGTCTTCAAAAATGTGGCTTCCACCAAAGCTCGGATCGGCAAGAAACGAACACTCTTGAGAACGTTGTTGTAACTCTCTGAAATGTTAGTTGTCTGGTTGCCCCAACGATAGTGTTTGTCTTTTGCAAGCGTCCATTGGCAAGCATTAATCTCCTCGAGATACAAATATGCTTCATTATCAAAGTCACGTAGCTCTTGCCTTAGTTCATTGAATTTAGTCTTTGAAAGTTTTGAGCCCATGTCCCAACACAACCTCTTGATCTTTCTACTTCGAAACTGAGCCACCAAGTTACTCCGGACGTGACGAAGGAAAAACCAGTGATATGCATCCCATTCGGGCATTAGACTTATTGCACTGATGATACCCTTGTGCCGGTCGGATATAACACACACAGGACGGTTGTTTGTAACATGATTCCTCAAATGCTTCAAGAAGAATGTCCAACTTCCCTCACTCTCTTCATCCACGATCGCATATGCAATTGGCAGGATGTGCTTATTCACAGCTTTCACCATTGCAGCAAGTAACTTCCCTTTGTATCCGCCACGCAAGTGCGTCCCGTCGATACTAATCACTGGAGAAAATTTAGCAAAACAACCAATTGCAGGCTTGAATGCCCAAAAAACGTATTTGAACGTCTTTTCTATATTGGTCCAACCTGGTTGCCATTCCCACTCTACAATTGTGCCGGGGTTGCTCTTCACAAGGGCGGCGAAAACCTAAATTTAAAAAAAAAAAAATTAATGCTTATTTTAAAAGAAAATTACAAACAAATCATATAATTAGATAGGACTTAAGTAAATACTTTGGAAGTATGTCAAAATTGGAAATCCAGTCGCCTTAAACAAGATCGATTGCTTTTCTCCTTCCCTCCCATGCCCTGTGGTAAAGAACATCGATATGTACACGTTCTTTCACTTCTTCCTGAACGAGCTTCACTTCATAATCCGGATCCAACTCAACCTTATTCCTTATGAGATGAGCAATAAGTTTTGCGCTCACATTTCAGTTATTGTTTTCCGCGGTGGTATTCATACAATTGTGCTCGGACATCCATGTCACAATCTCCCACAAACCGTGGTCTTTCAAGAAGGCACGTAGCTTCCAACGACAAGGAACATAACCCTTAGGGGTTGATTCTTTTAGGGATTTGCACCAAATATACCATGTATTTCTGTCACACTCCTTCACATAATACTCTCTTTTTTGCTCTATGTTCCACCCTCCTATACCATTTTTGCATCGATCTTGTTCTTAAAACACGTCCCTTTCCCGATTGTTGCAGTTGTCCCATCCCACATAGTAAGCTGAAATTCATCCTTGTCCACTTTTGTATGATCCCATTTACCATGTGAACGATATATGTGCCTGTCATTTGTGGCGAATTTGTCTTCAACCTCTTCATCACTCTCCCGACTCCCTTCGGATATTGATTGGTCTTCATCGTGTTGTTCACTTATTGATGTGTAGTCCTCATCATCGAATTCATCATCTTCCACGTGATGATCTTCCATGTGATCACCATCCTCCATATTCGGTCCACCGATATCATCATCTTTCATATAATCGACATTCTCCATATTCGACTCACCACTACTTGTCCCTGCTTCCAAATGGGACCTAGTAATACCCGCCACCTCCAAATCTACATACAAATCAATATATGTCGAATTTGGAAGGAAATACAAGACTTGCAACGATGCGTCGTCTTTGATTTTGGCGATACGCCTAAAACCATTGCCCATCGTATCATACAAAATTGAGAGACTTGAATTCACATTCCCTCTATTCCACCCAACTCTTTCACAAATCAATCCAACCAAATCATAGAATGATACCTTATGATCAATCACAATGGAACCATCCAGCAAGTTGTTAAAAGTATTCACAATCCCATTCTTTACAACAAATTTGCTCGACCAATAGACATTAATGAAATATGGACCGTTAAACGCTATTCATATCTGTTGATTACATGAATTAAAGCACATTTATGAACAAATTATTACCAAAAATACCCAAACAAGGCATAATCAAACAAATTATTATAAAAAATACCACAAACAAGGCACAATCAACACCTAAATTTACTAAACCCCTTACAAATTCAAAAGTTGAGGACACATTCAAACATTTTACTAAAAAAAATGTTCAATACCACATATACAACAACAATAATCACCAACTAAATCCAACACCAACCCTAAAATCTTATAAACATTCCTAGTTCTATACTTCTACCAAAAAAAAAAAAACAACAACAACAACAACAATCTAAAAACAACAAAACAATAACTAATCTTCTTGTGAAATGGATTTAAGACATCCGTTGCAAAGAATCGTGAACAAAATCTTCAAATCGCCTCCTCCTTCAAGAGAAATGAAGAATCCCGATCTTGAATAGTATTTTTCGTTTCCCCATTATATCACAGAAAGATCGGATTTGTGAAATCCGAGTTTATAAGTAAAGTCGGATTTTGAAAATCTGACCTACAACTAAACTCGGATTTATTAACTCCGATCTTTTGTCCGCCAATTCCCTCCATTGAATGCAAATATCTACCGGTTGGTATGCTTAAATAAGGTCGGATTTCAGGAATCCTATCCTGTACTGTTCATAATATTCAAATCTCCCGTCAATATTTTATTTTTTATTAAAAAACTTAGGGTTGAAATCCGACCTTGTACTGTTCATTATTTGACCGTTATTTTAATTTTTTTCACATGAATTTTCTAGAAAAAAATATATTATTTTATTAGATCGTATTTATAAAATCCGATTTACTAATTTAATTAATAGGTCGGAATTTGTAAATCTGATTTCTATATTTTTCTTTACAAAAAAAAGAGACCAATAGATCTCTCTACTCCTTTTTTTAAACGATTTTTTATCCAAAGCACCCCGAAGATGTCGGAGGAGAGGTTGACTAAGACGAGGTGAGAGGCGAAGGAACATGACGATGTCGCGATTACTGAGTTTCTTCAAAAGGATAAATTTGTTTTTTTATTCTAAATTTGCTTTGGAGGCTAAAATTTGTGCTAACAATATTACTGGCTTTTAATTAATTACTCATTCATTAATTATATTATATTAATTAGACCGGTGCACAAAGTATAATAAACCATGGTGCACGTTATAAGAATTGCAACTACCTCAAAATTTACTCCAACAAATATCATTAATGTAATGAGGTTAACTTAATAAATTCAATACATATTTAATTCAAATAACTAAAATTGATTAGTTTTGTTCGTAAATCAGTTATATGCATCCGATGAAAAGGAATGGAGATAGCACCTTGATTAACCTGCTAGAAGTTTCTAGCAAGTCTCATATATATTTTGTTTTTGGACCTAACTTTGGAAGGTTTTTAGAAATTTTTACAACTACCTTACTACAATATTGGGATTTGGGATCAAAATGTACCCAACATTAGCCCAATAAATACAAACAGATCCATCGCAACACAAGATGTAGTGTGCATTTATTTATTAAAATGTCCAGCAGGTGTACTAATAGAAACTTGATATTGAAATTATTGTAGGCCTCTAACAATTTCTTTTCTAGAAATGTCTTGTGATACATTTTAAAGGGATAAAAGATACTCTACTGACGAGAGACTGAGGTATAAAATAAAATATTAAAGGAGGTACATAAAATCAATAAATGAGTATAAAAGGTATTTTACATCTAATTTGTACAAGCCAAATTCCCCACTCAAGGGAGAGGAAGAAAAACCAGATCAAGTGGGCAAAATTAGCTTACGAGAATAAAGGTGTATCAACTAACTTTCCCCAACAAATGGTTGCGTAGAGAACCACATTCGACGAGAAAGAGAACACCAGGACCAAATCATCAAAAGTAAAATCTAGCTGCCTTAAAATTGTTTATCTCTTCCCGCGAAGGCCAGATCTAGGACCGGGAAACCTTGAAAATTGAAGCCGCAGGTAGGAAGAGTCTGGGTCATGTTCATCCATCTTGTAACCTGGTAAAATCCCAATGTTGTCAATAAATGTACAGCAAGACCAACAGCGGAAGATTACATAATGAAACTCAAGTTATCAAGAAGCAACTCAGAATTTCACACAACTCACATTCCTTTTAGAAAAAAAAAACAGAAGTAACATTATCACATAATGAAGCCTTCCCTCGACAAATCAAGAATATGGGTGAAGACATCTTGTGGTTTCTGAATGCAATTCCAGGTTGTAGTTTTATTAAAACAAATAGAGCAAAGGTAGAAAATGCACATTGTTTGGCGAAGTCAACTTTAGAGTTGGCCTCAACTGTGTAAACTGTTTGGTTGTTTCTTTGAATGAAGTTTATAAGGTTAGGTTTGGAAAAAAAGAAAAATAAAAATAAAGATTCGTTGCTATCACAGGGGAAACAGGTACACTAATAGGATACATCAGGTACAAAAGAGAGAAAAACCAGCACAATACCCCTTCCTGTCAGAATTTGGTCTAATTTTCAAAATGAAATGCATGGAAGACCCAAAAGCGCAAGAAAGTTCCACCGCATGAATTAATTATGAGCAAGTGTTTGCATTGCAAAGATAGCCAATTTCACAAACTGCTAAAGAAGAATTGAATTTTATATTGGAGGAACAAGTACCCTGTAAGGCACTCAAAGCAGTGGCAGCACAAGCAGGGTCTGCAAAATCCACGAAACAGAGGATAAGAGGATCTCCTCCACGCTGGAAAGGCAAAAATCCTCACTGTTATACAAGTATCCAAATAAAAACTAAAACTAGGATGAAAAGTTATAAAACAAAAATATGGTCAGAAGCACGACTTACATGTTTAGATTCCTTGGGAACAAGCCTTACTTCTTTATACCCAACAAATGGGCGAAATATATCTACCAAAGATGCTAAGTAACCAAGTGAACAGAGCACAAGAAGGAAGACAGAAAATAAGATAACAGAACCATCTAGATTGATATGAATAAACCAGATCACCACATAAGGATACGAGCTACTTCTCTTTTTGAGCTGTCAGAAGGTAGTCCCTCAATATACAATGTGCTGGAAGCATCTGGAGGAAGAGGAAGAGTATCTCTAGGCCTGGCCACTTCGTCAGGGAGATGACTACTAAACTCTGTCCTCCTGCTCGGTGCTGGTTCAGCACCAAGCATCCCAGTTCGACCAGCACCAATACGATCACGCGTAGGAAGTGCAGTGGAACCAGCAACTCCTCTTAAACCTCCTCCATAGTTACTAACATCTCCAGAATTATGAGAAAGTTGCTACAGAAGAAAAAGTTTGAACAACTTTGAGGAAAAAAATAACCATAGTAACCATGCAAAAAAATTCAAAACCTTTTATGTTCTGTCAAGGTTTGACAATAATACCGAACTCTGCAGATAACGGTCATATGCTGATTCAAGCGTTTGGGTATCGTTTATGATTCGAGGTCCAACACGATCATCATCTGGTGATAAATATTGGTGCATGTCGCGTCCTATAAGCAAATGTGATTTGTCACTTTGTGTTGTGATACTTTTGGAGAAAGTATTAATAAGCATGAACAAATCAGAGAGATAGAGATGACATCGAAGCATGGAGAAGAGACATCCACAATGATTTGAATCAATGTCACAATAATGCACTCATTGAATTTCTACGCAGAACACATTTCAGTAATAAATTTAGACCCTTCTAATGATGTGCAGAAGATAACAGGCTACAAGATGATGATGCATTCCTAGATATCGAAAGGAAGTTGAAAGTCTAAACATTCAAATTAAATGAAAATTTTAACTACCACTAATAGTGCAAGAATTGAAATGGGTGCAAACATACATATTTTTTACAACATATTGTAGATAAACTTCAAATTAACAACTCCAGACTATCACATAGTTTGTTTGGTAAGAATGGATATTACTCCCTCCGTCCCATAATTATTGTCCAGTTTGGATTTTCATTTTTAGTTCAATTGTACTAAAAGTGAAATCTCAAAGTGGACAATAATTTTGGGACAGAGGGAGTAATAGCAAGGCCTATTGCAAAATTTGTCAACCTTATTTGGAACACTAAAAATATCGACTGAAAGTGGATAGAAAGGAAATGTAACTGAAAAACCTGCATTCACTAAAAAGGCAATTAAACTTGACAATCATGCATAAAAAATTCTTTCAGGGGGGACTAGCAAATAAAGGAGTAACGAAATAAAAACAGAAGAGAGAAGCAAGAAATGAATTCCAAGAAAGATTAAGCAAGATGGAAGATGGATATAAAAACAGCGTGCTTGTAATCTTCATAAATTTACAATCAAAAGAGATCGCAGGGGTAAAAATCAGCAAATAGTTATCAGAAAAAAGCAATTGAATGAAAACTAAGAGAGGCTGTTCTACCGAAGAAAAACATACATACATTACTTTCCATTGTCCCCAGTAATGCTCCTGATTAAATTAATACCTAACCATCGAAATGGCTACGGAGTAAAAGGCACCTCAAAGGAAATATTATTACTCAGCTATGCATAAGACATTCCTTATGGAAAGCCAAGACTTTGGGTGAGAAGGTGGTTTGCAAATACAAAAGAGGTAGATTTATGCAAATTAAAAGACTGAAGCGGAAATTTATTACAAACTAACAGACACCAGGAAAGATCAGTCTTAAGCAGATTTAGTTGGGGGAAAATAGAAACTAAAGTAAGTTCGGTCCAACCATGAAATATTCCCAAGGATACCGAAAAAAGATTATTTCACTCAATGAGTAAGAAAAAGAACCAATTACCATTTCAAGAAATACAAAATTCATTCAAATGTCATTCACTCTGACCTTTTAGTAAAAAGCTGAATCAGAAAGGAAAGAAAAGAAACAGAAAACAAAAAAAGAAAATCATTCTAAAATCATTTTTTACATTAACCAATACATTTTTGTATTTCATAATTCTAAAATCGTTCTGCAAATCAGAATATTATTGCAATTTGTACATTGACAGAAAGAGAACATCAATATCTACCAATTCTTCATGAAACCAGTCATCAAGTCAGTGAACTTACAACCCAAGAAAGCCGAGCAGGATTTATGATGAAATTTTAGTGTTTTACACAAAAGTGATTTACATGTATAACCTAACAATTAAAGAAAATTAATATTCATTATCATAACCACAATATTAAAGAAAGCTTGTATAGCTACTCATGGAGAGCAACTTCGTATTGCTTAATGAGGCATTGCTTCATTGGTTGTTAATATGATGATATTGGATGTTCTAAGTAAATTTTACCAATTGAATATTCGACACGAGTATTATGCAAACTATCTCATTGTTTAATTATGATAACATTGCTCAATGTCAAATAATTCATTAACCATATGAATTTTAACAATATATATATATATATATATATATATATATATTGCCGAAAACAGATGCAGCCAAGATCAATTAAGTGTTACATCTGTTACCAACCTCCCTATCCCTCCCATAAAGTACACAGCCAAAAAACTTTAGTCACACCATTTGTATCATATGAGATACTTCAAAACAAGAAATACTCACAAGCTTAGTACTAGACAAATTAAAGACATGTTTTTCTCCTACAGATAACTTGAAATTAATAACTCCAGACTTTCATATAGAAAAATCCGTAACAGATGGATACTAACACCAAGTCGCATCGCAAAATGTTTACCGGATAGGAAAGAAGAGTAACTAAACTTAACATGCATACGTAGGAAAAGAGAACTAGAATTACTAACTACATCAGAGATCGCAAAGGGTAACAATCAGCAAAAAAAGATACCAAGCAATATAGTCCAGTCCACAGCTGCATAAAAGACAAAAGTATTTGGAGGAGAACCAAACGGGGTTGTTCTACATGAAAACTGTTAACGTACATACATAATTTTCCATCTTCACCAGTTTTCTCCAGATAAATTCTTCTCTAACAGAAATCTGGATTCGGGCAAAGCATTTGATAAAACATCTTTAGTGCGCAAACCATAAGATATTCCTAATGGTAAGGAAAGAAAGATATTGGGTGAGAGGGTGGCAGCTCCTCCCTAGAGGAAAGCAATACTTTGCACATGTTAGAGGTACAGATGAGTAATTCTTTACAAAAGTTAATTTGTTTCCTTTCAATCCTTAGCAAGGTTTTTAGGTAGAATGAGCAATTTGAAACTTGAAGCGGAGAAATTAATAAAAACAAAATGATGCCTGGAAAAATTAACTTTGAGGACATTGAAATTAGGGGAACATATAAACTAGATTGAGTTAGGTCTAATCATGTACATAATCCTAAGGATACTACCAAATAGATTATAGTAACGCATTGAGTTGGAAAAAGAACTAGCTGCTGTAAGACCACAATTCGTGTCGCGTCTGCTAAAGGTCATTCAATCTAACCTTCAAGTCAAAATCTAAGTAAATAAAATTTTTTAAAAGTTAGTAACAAAAACGAACGACATTTCAGTATGCACTGTATGTCATATTCTCATAATCCTAAAATATATACGTGCAATTTTTAAATGAAATTTGAAAAACAGGCAACATGAAAACCTCTAGGGAAGAGCTTTTTTAATGCATCCAGTCCACAACTCACTGAAGTTAAACCCAAAAAAGCAGAGGCTATGAATGATAAATCCTAACTGCTTTTTTCTTTTTTCCCTTTTGACAAAAATGATGTACATCTATGCGCAAAAATTTCAAAGAGTAATGATTGGGATATCTACACTCTTATAGAAACCTAACTATGTACTATATTACTCATGATGCACGGCTCCATTGGTTGTTATTATAATATTATGTCAATAGTGAATTAGATCTCTTCCAAAATTTTAGCCAATGGAAGTGTCACATGAATAATTATACAATCTAGCTCTCCATGACTCCATCTCTAATCATGAGTATCATTACTCGAGAAGTCAAATTCCTCTTAAACTAAATGAAATCCAACAACGAGATTTGCTCAAAACAGCATGTATGTGTCACCACTCACCAACCTCACTATCCATCATATAAAGTGCACAGCAAATTACATTTAATTTTAACCATTCTATCAAATGAGAGAATTCAAAACAAGAATCACTCGCAAAATTACCTATACAGATGAAACTGTTTACTCATTAGCTAATTAAGCATTACAAAGTTTAATGAAACAATTCAAAACAAGAAACACCGACTTAATTATTACATTCCTTAACAGATATGCAGTTTAATCATTAGGAAATTAACAATTACAAGCCTAATTCCAAATGAAATCATTATTTACCTAAGCTGGCACTTATAAATACAGTTTCCAAACAAGTTTGAAAGGTTAAAACAATTCTTCAAACTACTAACCGTAATCAGAGCGAGGACGCTTAAGCAAGCCCTGTCCAGCTCCCGGGTGCACGGCACCACCTTGTCTATTCCAGTATGGATCCCCCATTTTATACTGCGAAATTGCAAGCTCTCAATTGATAATAAATTAGAGCTGATATAGTAATAAATCACAAATTCTCAGTGCGTGATTGAGTAAGAGAGAGAAAATTAATGCCAAGCAAACCTTATTAAAGAAAGGGGGGTTACAGCAACGGCGGAACCCTAACTCAGCTCAGCCGGGACGCGGTGGTTATTTTTGGTACGGCGACTCGGGATTGGTGAAAACTTTTAACTAAGTACATATAGCTGCGATACTGGATAAAATTAACGTCACGTCAGATTGGAATTGGATTTGGGCTTGTTTGACTCTTGCTTGCTGTTTTACATGTCACTTTGGAGTTATCATTTGGACAATTTGCATTTGCAATTTGCACACAACTTCTTGAGGCTCTGTTTGGTTCCTTTTTTGGATGATTTTTTCAGAATATTTTATTAATATTTATCTCATCTTAACATATATTTTTTATATATTTAATATATCTTTTTACATTCCTAATACAAAAAAACACACTCAAAAAATTTTCCAAACATAGCCTTAACTTTATTTAAATCAGGAATGCGAATTTGACACCTACATTCAAAAAAACAAAACCCAAAAAATAAAATAAAAAATTATGTAATGTTACTTTCCGATTTCATAAACATTTGTGGTTTAGTCTATTGAATTCTAGTATCATCATTTTCATGAAACTATTTTTGTTTCTTTTGAGATACAATATTGAAACTGATTACGGTATATGTTGATCTTTTTCTCTATCATGTTGGATTAGCTTACCTTAGTTAACAGAGATGTAAATAAATTGCTCGCTCACCCATTTAAGAATCTAATTTGTGAATTAAGATAGAACATTAAAGTGAACTATTAGAGAAACATAACTCGTATATTTCTTCCTTTATTAGACAGATTATGTTCCCAACAACTCGTATATTTCTTCCTTCATAATTGTCCTATATTTTATGTATAATGCCGATGGAGATCCACTTACGCCCCTTCCCAAATCCCAAACCCAAATAATAATAATAATAATAATAATAATAATAATATTAATATTAATATTAATATTACTGCAAAAGAAAAAATTATATATATATATTGGTAAAATGAAGGAGGTCAAAGACTAAAATACTAAATTATCATAACAAAAAAAATTCACTGTCAACATCCAATAAACACACCGTAGTTTTACAATAATTGTAATTTTACAAGTAAACACTTTGCAATCAAGGAACTACATTAAAAAAAAAAAAAAAAACAACAACAACATATACATAACTCCTTTATAAGTAACATAAATAACACATATAATTATAACTAGTTCGAGCGAGTTTCTCTTCTTGGGGTTAACAACGGGCGGCCAAAAGATAAACATTTAATTATCTAAATATGAACCTTCAATGTTGTATAGGAGATAAAACTAAAGAAAATATTAGAACTTGTTTCGCCAACATTTTGTTTTAGTTTTTGTTTTAGTTTTTTATTTGGACTTGAGATGTGATTCAAAATGTGGTTTCAGAGAAAATTTTAAAAATTATTTATGTAATATTTTAAATAAAATAATAATATTTTTAAACCACCATCGGACCACTTCCACTACCGGCGCTGCTGCTGGACCGCCCCCGATCGAGATCCGACAGTGGCGGTAGGCGAACGGTGACGGCGGAGGTGGTATAAAAATACTATTTGAAATAAATTTTAAAAAGTAAATTAAAAAGTTGTTTAGATAGTATTGAGTTTTGTGTTTGAGATGTATTTTAAGAGGTAAAATGAGACAAAATGTAAAATGAATTGTTGCCCAAACAAGCCCTAAAACATCGAGAATTACATTTTTGTAAGTCCATTCAAAAGCGTAGGTATTTCTAATTAATATAGGTATCTTTTCAAAAAAAAAATTCGGAGGATAAATCCGTTCAAAAGTTTTTTTTTTTTTTGAAGAATAAGTCCGTTCAAAAATTCTAATTACAAATTGAATTCTATAATTTTCGGAGGTTGGATTTACTAAAACAAATGTTGTCCCGAAGAATTATGATACCCTATCTAGCGATGGCATCTGCCTGAGTTGCTTCTTAATCATGATTTCCCAGTCAGCCAACAGTCTTCTGATTATTGTATATGCAATATTTGAACACTCAAACTCAGAACTAAGTGAAGTTACATTTGTCAATATAAAAGGCTAACATTTTCCCTACGAAGAAAAGAAAAACATGATCAAATATGATGGCCCCAAAAATGCCACAATGCCATGCCCTGGTAGACCAAGAAAATGATACACTGTCATGTCAAGATATACCCCATCGCCCACTAAATATATTTTGGCTTCTTCTTCACAAAGTTATCCTTTTTTAGGAATTCGACAACTTTTCATGTCTAGTACCTTCTTCTTTTGTTTTGTTTTCATGTATACACATATTAGATGTTAGACCCGCACGATATGCAGTATGTTACAATACTTTTATGAATTTTTTTTATGAAATATAAAAATATTGGTCACATATGTATAATTCTTGTGAAATTTTAATTATTAAAATTTTGAACAAAGTAAAATGTGATACATGAAAAAATAATTAACTAATTTTATGATTAAACATTATGTAAGTTTGTCATCATAATTACAAGTTATAAATGGAAGTATTTCATAAATTGTACCCAAAAAAAATTACTAATATAATTATAAATAGTATCGCATAATCAAATTAAAAATATCACAGTTTCATCCAATAACAATTCATTCAAATAACTTAAATATGATAAAATGATATTGACATCATCCATCATACTTTTAGAGAAACTCATTGTTGTGGCCTGCAAAACATGTTTAAAAAAAGAGTTTGTATAGAAATATGTTAACAGCCTCTCCGAGAATATTTGCCATTTTTTATAGAATAAATAATCAAATTAGGTTCATAATAAGTTTTACCTCTTCTTTTTTGTCTCTTTAAATGCAGCTGTTATGGCCTGAAATTTCACCATTATCACAAGTCAACATAGAGGGTAACAATAATTAAAAAAAAAAAAGCGAGAGAGAGAAAGAGAGAGAGAGAGAGAGAGAGAGATAAAAATTTTACCTTCACGATAGCACGTTTTAATTTGGGTATATATAGATTTGAAAGTTTATCATCCCCAAGATTTTTGGTATAATTGAATTGGAAATTAATTATAATATACACGAAATCCGGTAATTGATTATGATATATATTTTGTCACTTAAAATTCAAATACGAATTTTATCATTCATTTTGTTTGTTATTTTCTATGATACACACTTTATCATTCATTCTCATATTTGTGACTCTAATTTTGTTATTAAATAATGTTTAAATTTGAAGATAGAGTTTAAATGCAAATTGTACATTTTTTTATATACCAAAAATAGTAGGATGTCATAATCAAAATAAAAATTATGTAAAATATTAACACATTTAATGCTCATTATGATAATAAATTTTTAAGGTTTAAAATTCATTATGAGCCGAGATTTTGAAGGAATATGATAATGATTTTTGTGGAAAATTTTCCCTTTTTAATTTTTTTTTAATAGGAATTATTCATAATTTCACTTAGTATTTTTTGGTAGAATATATGAGAAAATGATACATAAGATTTATCATACGTGACATTTTTAGAAATCCTTTTTGTTTTTTTTCTCTTTTTGGTTTCTCTCTTAGTATAATATACTATAGATTGATTATATTCAACTTTCTAATAAAAAAAATTCAGCATTAAATTTGATTAATGTAATTTTAACTTTCCCCATTAATCATAATTCTTACCTTAATATTGATCAAATCAGCACTAATTAAAATATATCAACATTAATTATAATGAATACATACAATAATTCTAAGTTGTCCGAAAAAAAAAAATTGTATTAATTTTGATTAGTGAAAAAGCTCATATAAGCATTAATTTTGTTTTTTTGAATTTATATGGCATTAATGTTGATTGATTGATCCATTCTTCATTTTTTTTGAATTGTTTGCTTTTTTTTTTAATCAATTATATTCGAATTTACTGGGGAATGAATTTTATTGCATTAATTGATTAGGATTACGATTTAATGCTGATTTATGACCGTACATTAACTCTTCTAATCTTTCTATTTGTAATTAATGATTTAAATAATATGTGATAAAATTTATTTACATAAAATCCCAAGGACTTTTAGTATAATTGCATAAAATTTTATTTTTGTCATTTGTTAGAAAAATGACACATAGGATTTTATCCTATGTGGCACCCTTAAAAATCTTTTTTTGTTTCTCTTTCTGGTTTCTATCTTAGTATAATATATATATATATATATGGGATCAGCTAGAGTCCCGTTACGGGACGGTTCCGTTTTAGGATAATAACAGTAGGACTAATTAGACTAATTGATAATCGTTGGATTAAAATGAAGGTGCATCATAAGTCAATACACCTAAATTCACATTATTAACTAGAAAAAATTTAAGAAAATGGTCAATTTCGCACAAAACTTCAAGTGTCTGGCCAATTTTGACCCAAAAGATTTTTGGGAAGCCAAATATATAATCTAAGTTTCAATTTCTGCCCAATTGACCAAAATTCAGTTAGATTTAATATCTCTGCTAACATTTCGTTACTTTGTACAGTTTTTTTATTGGAAAAAGTTTTTGCGGACCCCATAATTTTGACATCTTTACCCCCAATGATTTTAGTTGTTCTAAAATATACCCATAGAATTTTGACAATCAATAACATAAAATTAAATTAATAAAAAATTATTTTTAAAAAATTTAAACTTTATTTTTTTAAAAACTTTTTCTTTCTTTATTTTACCCAAGTTCATCACTGTAAAATTTTCATCCTATATTTTATCAATTACAATGAAAATATTTATTTTCTAAGAAATTAATATTAAATAAAATAATACTAATTTAATTAAAAATTGAAATCACAACTAATAAAATAATATAATATTAATAAAAAAAAATTATTTTTAAAAAATAAAAATTTAATTTTTTAAAAAAAATTTGACGTACTTTTTAAACTCCAACCCATCACTGTAGAATTTTCATTCTATATCATCCTATATTTTGTAGATTCTACAATTTTTTGTTAGATTCTACTAATAGGTAAATATAACTCACAACAATTTCATAAATTAAAACATATCCAAAATAAGAAATTAGATTAGAATATAATCTTAAATTTTAACTTCATTATTCATTTTATCAAAAATTGTCGTAAAAGTAATATTTTTACTTTATCGTAAGCGCACCAAATTAAAAATTATATCAAAATTTTTGCAACGAAGGTACATTTATTTTTTAAAATAATTCCACTTGAGTTTCAAAAATTAAACTTTTTAACTTTTTATGAATTTAATATTTATTTTAATTTGTAATTATTTTTACGAATATAATTATTTTAATAT